GTCATTGTTATTATGGGTGCATGATTTGGTTCTGTTTTGTATTTTCAAGAAACGGTGTTGTTCATTTTTCCCAGGTGTTGTGTTGCCATTTTCACGCTGGTTCTACTTCAGGTATGTTGTTCTTCTTTTCTTTTCTTTTTTTTTTTCCACTTATTTTTGCTTATTTTATGTTCTTGGGTAAATTTGGTGTTTAATTTAGAGCACAGAAAATAGGAAATAATTATTAAAAAATTATGTTTTTGGATGAATTTGATGTTTAAATTAGAGTACAGAAAATAGGAAATAATAAATAAAGAACAAAAGAGAAATTAAAAAAATTTATACTTTGTTTGACCAAGGTAAATGAAAAATATAGCTCCAACTCCTATTGATAAATTACAGTCGTATATAAAGCTAGTGAAGTTAAGAGTACGAATTTGCATGATATGAAAACCATCGATTCCCGGAGCTGCTCAAACATAAGCAAAGCAAGTGATTCATAATAAGTGACTTTTCTTTGTTCTTTATTGTGCTACCTAACTGAGTTTTAGTATATGTATAATTTATCATTGTACATTTTTTTTAAATTTTTCTGTGATAACAAATAATAAAATTTTATACCTTCTTAACTTTTTAAACCCATGTATATCTGATGGGAAGAAAAAAAAATATTAAAAAAATATGATTAAAACTGGGCCACATGATTTGTGGCACAACAAACAATAAAATTTATACCCGCCCACGTGTCAGTCATCACCACAAGGTAATATCTCTACCTTTGTTCTTCTTTCTTCTGTTTTCTTTTGAATTTTTCTTTGTTGTTTTTCCTTGCTTCTCCCGCTTTTGGCAGTCGTTTGCTTTCTTCGTTGCCTTTGTTTGCTTCTCCGGCTCTTGCCAGTCCTTTTCTTTTGTTTTTGAATCGTTCTCAACACCTGAACTAAGTGATCAATCTTGTAAACGAAAAAGAGAATTTGTGAGAAGCGCGCTTTTCATTCCTGGTGAACAAAGGTTTGATATCTAATTTCATACTATTCTCAAATATGATGTTTATATTTTTACATCATGTTTTAAAAATTTTCCATGTGTTCACTTCAACTTTCTTAAAATTTACATATTAAACATTTTCAATAATTATTAAAAAAAAATCATCTTTTCTTCTTTATGTGAAAAACTATATTAATGTTGCATAATCATTCAACTCAGTGAATCTGAAGAAATTTCAGAAGTTGATCCAAGAGAATGTGATGAGGTACCGATCAAGTTATTAAAAACAAAAAAAAATCACCTCCTAAACAGGCAAAGCCACACAGCAGCACTGGAAACAATGATTAGGTTAGTATGCTTTCAAGTTGTTTTATCTTTTCCTCCATTACCATTTAAATGTGATACTAAATCCTATCTAAATATGTTATGTTCTATTCCTCTTTGTTCAGGTTGTTTTATCAATGACAACAAGGGCTGAAGACACTTTTCACTACTCTGATCAAGAATGTTTACCGTGTTTTGTTTATCTATATTAAATCATGTTTAACATGTTTAAAAACCTGTACATATCTTTTTTTGCCCAAAACTCAACAATTTTTTTTGCATCCCCATACAACAGCATCTCCTCATTTTTTTTTTGTATGCAAAAGCTGGAACACACTATATTAGATGTGGTTATTAGAAGAAATTCAGTTATAATGTTTTTTGTATCTTTATACCAGGAATTTCTATTTTTTGTAATTGAATGTAATCCTTCCGGTCCAGAAATACATATAACTGCTACAATATAATGGATAGCTATAATTTGTATTTTTATATTATCTAAATTTAACCTTTTCTAGTTAACGCTTTTCCAAATTCATTGTTGCTATTGTTGTTCCTATTTTGTAACCGAAATTTTTTCATTTTTAACATCTTAACTTCAAACCCGCGGCAACGCGGGGGTATTAAGCACTAGTGATCCTCTAAATTTGGAAAACAAAAAAGAAAAAAAGAAAAAAAAAACTTCGGCAATAAATTGATTGATGGATTCCTTACCCACAAATGAGCTTGGGCCTTATATACTTCAGAAAGGGTCAGCCGGGCCCATTTTACTCATTGGGCCAAAACATTTAGGCCTGAGCTACTCCTCGAATGCGGGCTGGGCCAGTTTGGCTCAATTACGGGCCGTTCCTCTTCTATTTGGGCTATGTAATTTCTTGTGGCCTTTCTAGATGGTTGGATTTGTTTATTTGATTTCCTATTATTTTGGACAAATCTGATTGGTCACAAAATTGTGCATCATCTTCTATACTATTAAGAGAAGCATTCTTGTCAACATTTTCCCCTTTTTTTTTTTTTTAAATTTTATTTTGCCCTCGTTTTTGATACATAATAGTTACATAATGAGGGCAAAATAATAATTTTGTATCTTTTGAGAAAATGACAATCATATCCCTATTTTTTTCTATTTTACCCTTGATAAACAATATTTACATAAGGAGGACAAAACAGTTTATGTAATATTAAGAGAAATTGTTTCATCATCATTTTTTCATACTCTTTTTAAAATTTTAAAAACTAATCACACTCCTTAATAAAAAATAAAAAAAATGAAATTATTCACATACACAGGATGTGTACTCATCAGCTAATGACCAATAAGGCCTACCTTGTAACTTGCAAACGAACTTTCACATCACAAACCTTTCCACAATTTTGGAACCGAAATTGTAGTGGTTCAGAGGAACAAGATTAAATTATAATTTGCATTTCAAGAAAGTCAGTGAGGTTAATTAATTAATTATTTATTTATTTATTTACAATTATTTTTATTTATATTATATGCCAAGCTTTTCTTCTTTTGTGGTTAAGACTAAGGCAGTCATGGAGAATTTGAGATCTAATTTTTTCTGCTGCCCATTTCTTTAAGTAGAAAAATGTGTTTCTCCAAGGCATCTTTTGTCTCCTAAAGACAATAATTTCATGTGCAAGTGTGGATTATTTAACTCATAAATTCCACCAATTGAAAACTAAGAATATGATCAACTCCACTTTGGTTGGTCACTTGGGTTCGTCGTGAGTTGTGACTTTATCATATTGAATGGTTTTCAGTGCATCCAAAAACACGCTAACGTGATAACATATATATTTATTATTGAGAAATGTTAGGGAACTCTCCTAAAGTGAGATTCTTAATGGATTATTCATCATTTTACAATTTAACGTCAATTGTCATGCTAATATTATAAACATTATGTAAAAAAAATATAAGGCCGTAGAGAGTATGAAGATTCCAATTTTTGTAAGAATCTCCTTAGTATTTCCTTTTATTAATAGTACTTTAGAAGTGAGACATATTATTTATAATACCTTATCAACTAAAATATTAAATCATGTGTCAAATTTAAATAAATAAATGTCGAGTGACTCATCACCTCAACAGATGAAAGAAGAAAGCTTGCTTACGTCAAAGATTAATAGTCAAAGAGTTTTATCTAAAATTAGAAAAAGAAAGAGAGTTTTAAATTACACACTTCCGGTACTGTTCACTTTTAACGAAAAATCACATTTTTACCTTTTTCTGGTACTATTTACTACACCTGTATTTGTCATTTTTAATTAAAACTAAAGTTTTTTTTTAGACTTTTTGTTAGTTTTCCTAAAAAATAATTGGTTTTTAAATTTTTTTTATTATTTTTTAAAAGAGAGACAATGAGTGGTAAGTCACTGTTATAACTTATTTTTGAGTAATACTAAGTACTCTCTAAAAAGTGAAACTCTGCATGGATTTGCTACCACATTATATTTTTGGCATAATGTCTTATAATGTTGGCACATAACTCTCTCAAAAGTGGAACTCTTCATAGCTAGATTCTCTGTCACTTCACAGTTTAACATCAATTCTTGTACTAATGTTATAAAATATTGTGCAAAAGATATATAAGCTTTCAAAGAGTCCCGCAAAGAGTCTCATTAACATTTATCCTTCTGTTTTCTGTACTTGAAAATTTTCTCGAAGGTGAACAATGAGTCATAATTACTAGATTTTATTCATATTTTAACTAATGTTTCTTTTGGTAATATTTAAGTAATTTTTTGTTCTCCAATCTACTAATGGTTGTATATTCTGGTGTTGCTTTTAGATTAGGACCACATTCTCCAATTTGTTTATTTAACCCTAATGACCTTTGCATCTGTATAATGCATTGTATTTTCCACCAATAAACCGTCCAACAAATATGATATTCCCGTCAATTGGTCATGGTATACCAACTTCTCAATATGCCATCATATTTTTTATTATTTTTGTCGTTAGGCCATCTCAAATTTGAAAGACGAATATTAGAGTAACTTGTAAGTTTTATCTTCTTCGTGCATTTATAAAATATGAAATTTAACTTTTAACTTTTAATTTTTGCGCATTAAAGAGATTAGATTAAATTTACAGTAAAATATAAATTTGTATCTTCTAAAAGTAGAGGTCTCACTTTTGACTCTGAGTTATAACTAAAATATATCTTTGCATATTTGGTGGCGGACCGTATTGGTGGTGAATCATATTGGAGAATACCTGCATATGACAAGGTAATGTACAATTGATATAAAAAAAAAATTATTACCAAAGGTCTTGATGATATTGAGGTGAAAACTCTCATAAAGTAATTGTATATTATTCTGCCATATACCTAGGGTTGGAAAAAAATACCGAAAATCTCAAACCATGTCGAAACCGAACCGAAAAAATACCAAACCAAAAATCCTGAAAATTTTGATATCAAAACCGAACCGATTCAGAATTTTTTGATATGGGATTCAGTCTCACACTTTGAATAATTCGGTATTCCTAAACTGAACTTTACTCATATAACATTCATATATATGTGTGTGTGTGTGTGGTGTAGGAATGTGTAATGATTATTATTATTATATAATTACAATCACTAAAGTGTGGTGTGGTGCTAACAAAAGTAGGATGGATGGGTCACGGGTGCTTGTTTTCTAGACAAAACTCTGTCTCTTTCTCTCCCTCTTATTTTCTGTCTCATCAGTCATCTCTCTCGTATTGTCTCTCTCTCTACAACCCATAAACCACCTAACCCTTTATCTCTCACCTATTGTCCATCTCTTCTCACTCGTATTATCTCTCTTTGCAACCTAGAAACCACCCCTACTCACTTCAAAACTGAAAGCACCCTTCCTTCCACTCAATTCAAAACCGAGCTGACATCTTACTCACTATCTCGATCATTTCATTTTGCCTTTCTCATCTGCCTTCACTTAGTCTCAGACTCTTTCTCTTTCTCGGATTTGAAGTTTAGCAGCCACCCACCGTCTAACAATCTCACTCCGACAAACTGTCTCCACTCTGGCCACCACCACACCTCATGGCTTCATCCCCACCTCCGGTTCTTTCTAGTGATTCTATGTGTGTTTGGGATTTCGAATTAAGGTTAGGGTTTCGAATTGGGGGCTCGGGTTAGGAAGAGGACACAGGTCTCTCTCTTCACTCTATCTCTTTCTACCATAAATCTTCACTAATTCACTATCACTATGTCTCTGATTTCAAGTTGGATTTTTAATGCAGGTTCGGATGATTTTAATATCAATCTAGATGATTTGAATTCTGATGCAGGTTTGGTTTCGGGAAATTCCGAAAATATTTCGGGAATCCCGAAATTTAGGTTCAAGATCGGTCCCGAGAATTTTGTCTCGAAAATTTTCGGTTCGGGATTTTGTCTCGAAAACTTTTGGTTCGGTATCCCATACTGAACCAGCCCTACATATACTCAATGATGAATCCTATTCTTCAAAACGCCCCCTCACGAGTAGCTCCACACGGTGTCACAAGAGAAATCAATCCTTACATCAGGAACTAGTTAATTCATTACGTCGGAGCTAACACAATTTTCACAAGTTCAGTCATCAACCGTTCAACTAAGGCCAACACAATTTTTCGAAGGCCCAGTGATTCAATTCCTTAAGCCATATGAAAACTTTTATATATTTACTTTATAAATATGGGATTATTGTTCTCTAATGTGCGAAACTGTTTTTGACACTTCAAAATTCTCATTTAGCACTTTTTACACATGCATTTTTCTTTTTAAATATAGAAGATGCAAAATGAAAATTTTAGAATGCCAATTACAATGTATGTATAATGTTAAAGTCTAATTGAACCAGACCATCTTTGTTAGATGTCATACTGAAATGTCAATCATGCCTTTATGGACTATAGTGAAAGTTGCATTTGTATTGACACATATCACAATATGAAGGATATATACATTATCTTGTTAGCTGCCCTTCTTAGGAGTTTGTGTAATTAGGATACAAAGACAAAACGTCACGAGACAAAAGTACATAACATGGATACAAAGATATACAATAGACAAGTTGATAACTTATCGCTTTTATAGTCGAGACACGTGAGACAATATGTTAACCCAAACATTGGAGTCATTGTAGGATTTGTTTCAAAACAGACATTAATATATATATATATATATATATATATATATGATGGGTTCGTGACATAACTTTCAACACACTTTTTTATAGACTCATTCCGTAATGTATTTTAATGATCTAAATCGTTTATAGTTTAGGTCTTTTCTCAAACATCATGCCCAAATCTGAAACTATATGACCGAGGAATTAAAGGTTTAGGATTTATTTGCAGAACCATATTCGTTCACTTTCTTCACTTCAAACTAATGTCTTAATGATTTTGGATTTGTCTAATTTTTGCAAGGATGATCTATGAATGATATTCTAATTAAATACAGACGAGTTTGGATCGTTAAAATATATTACGAAATGGCTACCAGAAAAGCGTATGTCAAAAATTGTGTAAAAAAGTGCGGTTGTAAATCCACATACATATATAAAACGAGTTAAACTAAATTTTATCAATAAGTTTGTTTTTCATGTTCACTATTCACTAATCTAACTAAATTAATATGTGATATTTATTTCACATTATACCGAGTTCTTTTAAGAAAACATCTCAAATTTGCGTCTTACTTTGCTATTTAACTTCATTAAGTTTTTGATGTAGGACATGCTTCAACATTGCATATATAGTCCATAGAATAGTTAATCAGTAGTATGTCTTTTAAGTATAAAATTGTTAAATAAACAAATAAGTTTATATAAAGAATATGTGGTCTGTACGAACTCTTGATATAATGAGATTTCTCTTCTCAATAATAATAATAATAATAATAAAATCCTAAGCTCAAATATCCTCTCCCACTTTATTAAATGATAGCAAGAAAAAAAAAAACGTATAAAAAAATGAAAGATGCATAAGATTTTTATTTTTATTATTTTTTATTTTGAAAAAGGAAATCAGCTAGTGGTTTTACCACATCAGTCTATCTTTTTGTGGACCAGAAAAAGTCACAGACATTTCAACCTTCATTTGGCCACTATAAGATTTCATTCCATTGAGAAATTGTGAGTTAATTATATCTTCTTGTATTTTTTTGTTAACCACCCAACTTATATGAGGTTTATATAGTAATGCATCGACTCACATATCATGTGATGTCAACAAACCTTTTTAGCATAGCCAGCTTGCTCCGCGTGACGCATATATATCAAACACATTGCCTGCTCAAATGAAGCACTTTAAACTTTATTAATTAATACAACAAATAAATAAGAAACTCATTCAATTAACAGGCCTCAGATCCTCATGCTCTGACACAAAATAATATACAAATTGGTGGATTTGGATCCCATCCGGAACTAAATTGTGGGAATCTTAGAAATTTTCACATTTTAATCATTCATCGTACATCGTACGGTTAGTAATAATTTGAATTTTATTATTTAAAATTAAACACAAATAGTATCTAACGAAAACTGACCATACGATATACGATGAACGACTAGAATGTGAGAATCTTTAAAATCCCCACAAAAAGGATCTGGAGAGATCCTCATCCCAAGTTGGTTGGTTCAGGACTAATTCTTATCCCTAACTCCAAACTAGTGATGCATGTTTAAGCTGTAAGATAAGAAGATAAGCAAATTAATGTACACTCTAGGAAACCATAATTTAAAACCCTAATCGAAGCAAACGTTTGTTTAAGGAAAAAAACAAAAGAAAGTTGATGATAAAGTGAAAGGGCGTCACGCGTACCAAGTGAGGAAGTGGATGAAAAAGATTACCAGCCCTAAACGCATTAACTTCCAAAAACAACCTCCCCAAAAGTCATCCCCCCAACTATCCCTCGCATGCCTTCATATCCCAAAATCCCCAATCAAAAATATAAGGGCTAATTTTGTTTGAACGCAAAAGGTTTGAATTGATTGTCAAAATCAACTATAAGATTTAATGTTTTCAAATTGTATCATAAGTTTTGACATCTTATCAATTTATGTCTTTCATCATTTTAACTGTGTAATTCTTTGTGAAATTGAAGACATTATAAGTTATCGTATATGGCCACTTGCACCACATTAAACCAAAACTAAGCATCATGGTGGAGTTTCGACATCTCCTCTACTAATGCTTCGTATTCCAAACTGACAATCCATCACACATTTTGGTTCTAATGGTATAAGTATGACTTCTACACAATTCATAAATGGGTTGGCATCAGCTATATTATTAATTTAATGCAGAGGCGGCATTAGAGGGAGCAAAATGTGCAATCACACTGAACCCTAAATTTGGAGGGCCCCTAGAAATTTTTATCATCTAATATTTATATGTAATAATGCTTTATATTAAAAATTATTGTTTTTATTAGCACTTTAAAATCTCATTGTGCAATCTTTATAAGTGTATGCATATTTCTTTCTAAAGATAAAAATTTTGGAGTGAGATATTTAGAGAACAACACCCTAAAAAAGGATTTTTTTTCTCTTTTAATTTTATTATATAATAATGTCATATATTCAAGTGAAACTTCAAAGTTAGAGCATGTGAACTTTTATTTTTCTTGTTTGGTTGTTTAAGATTGAATTGTTTTTTACTATTTAGTGACGATTATGTTTGTAATTCTTTTTTACTTGTTATTTAATGACATTTGTAAACTTACGATTAATGAGTCATTGTTTTCCAGCATCAATATATTGTCTTACTTTTTGTTGAAAAATTATCTTAAAAAGGTGCCTTTTATAAATTTTGCACATGACGTCCAAAATCTCAAAGACGGTCCTGATTTAATAAAGAGTTAAATAGTTAAATAGATAGAATACATAAAATTATTCTATTTCAAAACTCCAGTTTAATGAAAAACAATTGGGACACCGACTCCCTTTTTAAAATTAACCAAAACATGGAAGATGCGACATGTAATTAACAATTACCGAAAATAATAACAAAACAAGGGCTATTTCGTCATTTTAGAATATAGGTTTGCAAAGGTAATGTATCCCCCTTCCCCCTTCCCCTTTCCGGACAGCGGACACTGCAAGTAATATTTAATCACGTTACAGCCGCGATCCGGCACGCTAGCTTACGCTTGGTGGGCAGTGAACGCGCTGGCGTATAGGCCCGCGTGTCGCGATTTCCTTGGCTTGTAATTTGACGTGGAGACATATTAGAATAGGTGCGCATGCAACCCAAGTGCGCTTTTTAGCGTCTGCCTTCCTCCTCAGTATCGCAAGTCATTGTTATTATTTGTTCAATTTCCCACCCTTCATCATCACCTACTTGCTTTCTCATTTGCTGCAAAATACTCACCAAACTCTCCAACATCCTCTCTCTCTCTCTCTCTCTCTCTCTCTCTCTCTATAAAATCACCATTGCTATTCCTCTTCCAAATCTTTCTCATCAAAATTCAGAAAACACAGCTTTAATTGCAAAAGCTCAGTTCAATTCAGAAGTATTAGCTATTTCTTCATCAGCTGCATGCGCTAAATTTAAGAAAACCAAAGCGATTTGCAGAAATTGTACGGTCAGAAGGGTTTTTGTATTTGTTGTTTAAGCAATATATATACACATATTTATCTATATATATTGTGATCCTTCTTCTGCTTCTCGGTGTTTTCTGAGAGATTGAGAAACGACGCCGGCCGGAAAGTGTGGACGAAGGAAAAGTCAGGGTTGCGCACGTGAGGTGGTACGTGACTGGACTTTTGGGGTGTATTAGTTTTATTTGGTTTGGTTGGGGTGTCGGGAGGTCCGTGAAGAATGCCTCACAGAACGACTTACTTCTTCCCAAGGCAATTCCCGGATCGAAGGTACGATTCGTCGTCCAAACAGCTGTTGCAAGAAGATCATCACGATCACGAGAAAGTAACCAAAGACAGCGACACTGCCACTACCACCACCACCACAACTGCGACCAGAGATAGAGATTACCAACAAAAGGTGCCCAAAACCGCCTCCAGCAACTTGTACAAGTCCTCAGCCACTACCACTTCTTCTCTGTCTTCCGATGTTCAGTACTTCACGGGCCACGTCGATGAAAGGAAGCCACCGCAGTTGGCCGACTTTCTCAACTGGTTCCTTCATGACAAGAAAGGGACCAGTACTCGATCCAAACCATCGAGTACTGGCCACCGTCCTCATCACGTTAGGGTAACAGGGAGGTTGTCCACTTCGTGCCACCTTGTTGACGAGGATCGCGAGCTGTTGCTGCCTCGTCGTCATCATCATAATGATGATGATCACGATAATCATGTGGCTGAGGCTGGCCCACCGCAGATGGCGCCGGAGTCCACCACGACTGCTATGCTCAAAGACCGGAGTGTTGACCAGAGCTTTGACCGGCAGGTGTCCCTGCCGAGGGTTTCGAGTGGGAGTAGCTATGCAGGGAGCTTGTTCTCAGGAACGACGACGTTGGATGGGAACTTCTCTGGGGATGTTAAGGACTCGTCAGCGACGACGAGGCATTTGGAAGTGGAGGAAGAGGAGGTGGAACAGGAGAGTGCTAAAGTGAGGTTGTCTCAGACGTCTAAGGAAAGTTATTATTTGCAGCTTCTTTTGGCCAAGAGGCTTTGTTCTCAAGCTACTCTTGGTGCTGAAACATTGCTCTTGCACGAGACTACTACTCAACTTGAGGTTACTGATGCTGAGACGGTGTCGTATCGGCTCTGGGTACGTTTACTCTCTCTCTCTCTCTCTCTCTCTCTCTCTCTCTCTCTCTCTATATATATATATATCCCTATTTATCCTATGTGGGTTAATTTTGCATGAACTGCGGATGGATATCCTATTTGTATATTTTTGTTCTTGGATAAGGCTATTAATAGACATTATTTGGAGCTAACGAAAGACTTGGTGCAAACTAAGCTCAATTTTCAGACCGCCAACCCCACTTAATTAGTGGGATACAACTTTGTTGTTTGTTTTTGTTTGATAAAATGGTTCTATTGCCAATATGTCTAAGAATTTTGTGGTCCAATCCAAAATCAGCCTTTGTATGCTCCAGGGAGAGAAAATAGATGTTTGTATCACTTAATTAGTTAATTAAAAATATATAGAGTATTTCCAATTCTGCTGCGCAACTGCGCTTGTAAAATTAGTACATAAACTCGAGTATGTAGAGAGAAATGCATACTTGCGGGACTTATATTGTCAAAGCGCAATAAATTATTTACCTATGTCTTTGATATATGCCACTACTAAGATCTTAGTGAATTGGTTCTGAACTTGAAGGTCGGAATTAACTTTGATTGGAAATTTTTCTAAATTCCAATCTTCTATAAGGAATTTGTACATTGCTAACCTTGTAGATCATTTTTAGTGATTATGAATTTCATATACATTTTCCAGGTCAGTGGCTGCTTGTCTTACAATGACAAGATATCAGATGGTTTCTACAACATTTTGGGGATGAATCCATATCTTTGGGTGATGTGCAATGATGTGGAGGAAGGTAAAAAAATACCGTCCTTGATGTCACTTAAAGAAGTTAAACCTGGTGAGACATCAATGGAGGTGCTTCTTGTCGATAAAAATGATGACTTTCGCCTCAAGGAGCTTCAAGATAAAGCACATCGACTATCTTGCACTTCAGAGAGTACTTTAGTGTTGGTGGAGAAACTTGGCAAGCTTGTCGCAATCTATATGGGGTGGGTTTCAATTTTCCCCACTTTTAACTTGAACAATGTTTTGTTCGTTAATTATATTGTTTCTGAGTCGCTTAAACTTGAAGGGGTAATTATCCCGTGGAGCAAGGAGATCTACACATGCGTTGGAAGGTGGTTAGCAAGCGATTGAGCGATTTTCATAAGTGTATTGTGCTCCCCATAGGCAGCCTATCAATGGGGCTTTGCAGGCATCGTGCCATTCTTTTCAAGGTGACAACTTGTACCTCATTTTTTGCCTATTTATGTTTATAGTCTGCTCCTTTTCGTTCTGAATGACTGTAAAAGAAAATACAAGTGTTGTCTAAAAGCTATTGTCAATTAGTTTCATTTATATTGGGCCGGTTAGTTGATATCTTATTTATTTAATGTTTTCTGAAGGCACTCTTAGTTGTAAAATTTAGGACTCATATGTTAAATTGTACAACAAATATTTCAACATATATGAATATGTGGTCAGGATGCATCCGTTTTACATGAGAATGCAACTAAACTATATAGAGCTATGAGTTTTCGTCCCTTGATCATTCGGTAAGGTATATGTAGCTTTTTGAGGTGTACTAACACAATTCTTGGCGATGTAATTTTTATGGGGTTTATAGGGGAAGACCATGCCTATTACTATCCTTTTGCACATACACCTATTTAAATGCTTTGCAAATAAGGCAACACAATTGAGAATTCAGTTATTTCTTGCTTCATTATCTACTCTTTGAGCATATGGTGTACAAATCATAATATTCGATCTTTTTATAATGTTATCTCGGAGCCTACCGGGTTGCTTATGTCGTTTCAAGCGGAATGAATGGATACAAAATTTGTTTTCATTTATGCTTGTGTGCTGTGGACTGGTGGAGTTTTCGAGTCCATATGAGATATTATTGTTTTCTTATTCTTTATAACTCAATTCTATATTTCCAACGTGCAGAAATTGGCAGACCACATAGGTTTGCCTTGTCGCATAGCTCGTGGTTGCAAGTATTGTGTGGCAGATCACCGGTCCTCTTGTCTTGTTAAAATTGAAGATAACAGGAAGGTTTTGAGGTTAGAAACTTTAATTGTTTGCCGAGTATTGTTGCTAGCAGATTTTATATTATTTCCTATTTTTTAAAACATGATTCAGCATATAAATTCATTCTGAAATGTAGATATTGACAATTAGTTCCTTGTTTAGGTTTTGGTAGTATCTATTTCCCGAACGGATATTTAGCCATAATGTTACTTCTAGGGTTTATGTTCATTTGATCTAAGGGCATCAATCTTTTTTCTTTCATCTATACACTCTGCAGCATTAAATCTTTGCTGAATTCTTGGTCAACACCCTGCCGTTTCTCAGTCTCACTGTTTTCTTAGCTTTTGGTGTTGAAAAGATTTAGCCATGGCTCATAACCAACTTGATTGTTGTCAGATAAGTTGACATTACCCCACCCTGTCACACCCCGTTGTTTTTATGGTGTAAATATGTATTTGATTCTGAGTACCATGTCATGCATGGTTGAAGAGAACGTTATCGTTTCCAACTGTTTGTTTAATTCAGAATTTAACGTATGGTTTTCATGATGGTTATACATATATTTTTTTTAACAGGGAATATGTGGTTGATCTAGTTGGGGAACCAGGAAACCTTCATGGTCCAGACTCCTCGATTAATGGAGGAACTCTTTCTTCTATACCTTCACCATTTCAAATTTCTCATCTCAAAGAATCCAAACAACCTTACAGGGATAGTGAATTATATTGCCAAATCACAAACTCAAAGCACACGGGTGCTCCTCCTGAAGATCCCTTTCATGCAGGTATGTTTTGTAGCCTTGAAAATACATGTTCCAATTATTTTTGAGTACTAGAAATTGAAGGGAATCTGAATGAACTACAAGGTAGAGGCATCGTTATTGCTACAATGATTATAATTTTTGTCTAATTATAAACTGACAACCATTAGATTTTTGTTTTTTTTGTTTTGTTTTGTTCATTGATACGGAGAAGAAAACGTTTATTATGCTACCTGATTGTACTTTTGATGATTTACATAATCCATGTGGTACCGTTTTTATCCTTTCTCGATAGCTTCTTCAATCTTTATAGATCAATCTCTTACAGACGGTGGGGAGGGAGGTCAAATCATCAAGGAAACCAGTTTGCTTCCAGGTGATCAAACTAGATTTGGGTTGGAATCTTCTCTGATGCGATTGGAATTGAAAGGAAACTCTCCGCATTGCCTTGTTCAGAGTGACATCCCACCTTGTGTTCAGGGTGATGCGTCGGAAGCTCTTGATGTTACTGCTACTACTGCTGTGGCATCATTAGAGGAATGTGCTAGACTTAGCGAAGAAAATGATGTTGTACAACAAGCTTACAGAAAGGAGATTGTTGTATCAAGAAATCAGGTTATAAGAAACAGTGTTGAGCAACCTAAAGTAACTTTGTACAACCAATCAGATCTAGAGGGCGTTCATAGTGAACTTGTGAAACAAGGTAGAATTACTGCTGTGACTAACCCAAGGTACTTGAATCTTGAACCGACTCTCGCAATGGACTGGCTTGAGATCTCATGGGATGAGTTGAATATCAAAGAGCGTGTTGGTGCTGGTATTTATCCTCCCCTATTTTTAACTAGATGCAAATTTACTTGGTTTTATTTGCTCAATCACTACTCTTCCCTGCTACTTGAAATCTCATACTTTGCTACTTTCCAGGCTCATTTGGGACAGTGCATCGTGCTGAATGGAATGGATCAGTAAGTTTTTTCTTTTTTTTGTGATTGGGCGGCGACTGTTTGTGTATGTGAGAAATAGTGGGTTGGTTATGACGTGCATACTTTTCATATGCTGTATCTGTGTGGTCCGATCACGAGGACAAATTTGATGAGTGGTATATTGCTTAATATCATATGGCTGCAAAGTTTGGACCGTGTGGCTGTTCTTTTTCTCATTCCATCTTCGGGACAGGTCTAGTAACTATTTGTGTTTCAGAGGAAGAACTTAAGCAATTTACCAATTTAGATGATCAAACAGAAATTAACTTTCTGCTTAATTTGTTCCTTCTTCTCATGATGTCTTCAGTTGGATGCTGAACATCTGTCTTGCAATATATCATCGTAGTTTTCTGTACTTGAACCTAATTCTTTTTTTCTTCTTTTTTCATCTTCTAATTGAGTTTAATTTTGGTGCAATGCAGGATGTTGCTGTTAAGGTTCTAACTGTTCAGGATTTCCATGAAGATCAATTGAAAGACTTTTTACGAGAGGTAGGTTTCCTTTTTATGCGTATCAGAAATATGTACATTTTACATTGAAGCCTCTTAGCTGAAGTTGATCTTCACGTTGTATTCAGGTTGCAATTATGAAACGTGTTCGTCATCCAAACGTAGTTCTTTTCATGGGTGCGGTTACAAAGCGTCCTCATCTATCTATAGTGACTGAATATCTACCAAGGTAATCGGCTAATTTTTTTTCTTTCCAATTTTATTTATTTACAGTTAATTAAATGTGTACAAATACTGGAGCCCTTCTTATGTCTGAACCCATTGGTATCCTGGTATTCGTGGAGCAGGGGTAGTCTTTATCGCCTCATTCACAGGCCAGCTTCCGGGGAACTTCTAGATCAGAGGAGGCGGTTGCGAATGGCACTAGATGTGGTTTGTGCAATTCAGCATCATCATTTTCCTTCTTACATGGCAACTACGTTTTCTGTTAGTTAACTCTATACATCATCTTCCCTGCAGGCCAAGGGTATCAATTACCTCCATTGTCTTAACCCTCCTATTGTCCATTGGGATCTTAAGTCTCCAAATTTGTTGGTTGATAAAAATTGGACAGCGAAGGTATATTTAGATAAAGAAAGAGGTTGCCATTGTGTTTTGAGTTCTCCGGTTGGGTGTTTGTGGACTTAATTTGTTTCATTTATTCCTAGGTATGCGATTTTGGGTTGTCCAGATTTAAGGCGAACACTTTCATATCATCCAAGTCCATTGCTGGAACAGTAAGTCTCCCTCCCTCTCTCTCTCTACATGTACATGAGTGTGTCATCGTGCACAGATTCACATAATATCAGTTGCACTTTTACCCCCCAATGTAGTACGGGTGCCAAACCAGGATTGAGATGTACACCTTGAAATGTTTGTTTGGTGTTTTGTCTCACAAGTTAGTTGTAGTTGTTTCGATGGATTAGTATATAAGTTATGAATGCTGTAAGTTACCATGAACTCTTTTGTATGTACCTCCATGTAAAGTCGGGTATTTCCATCAATATTTCTGCACTTTAAATTTTAGTTCGCAGTGCATCAATCAACATGTAACTCACTCAATTTAATTTTCAGCCTGAGTGGATGGCTCCAGAATTCCTTCGCGGAGAGCCCTCAAATGAGAAGTCTGATGTTTACAGTTTCGGAGTGATCCTATGGGAACTTGTAACCATGGAACAACCTTGGAACGGTCTTAGCCCCGCCCAGGTACATGTCGTGATCAGCATCTCTTTTCTTCCAGCCTTGTCCTGCACATTCATTCTCTATTTTCTTTGTTTTCCCTTCTATTAACAATGGTAAATGACGTCGTTCAATCTCTCAGGTAGTTGGAGCCGTTGCTTTCCAGAACAGAAGGCTTATTATCCCAGCCAATACTCCCCCAGTGTTGGCTTCGCTTATGGAATCCTGCTGGGCTGAGTAAGTCTACCCGATATCTTCCCACTCGTCATAATATACATAACGGATAACCTGATCGGAAGTGTATGCTGGGAACCAAGACACTACTCTCTTTTCCACACGTAGTGTCGAAGATAGAATGTGACTAACTGGCCCTTAGATCTCCTTGCGTACTTATGTAGACATACAAAAACGATCTTTGGGATGTCAAAATAGTAGCACCTGTGGAGTCTTGTTCGTTTACATGTTTAGTTCGTGATGTTTGTCTATTTTCTTCGCAGTGATCCAGCCCAGCGCCCGTCTTTTGCTAGCATAGTTGAGTCGCTAAAGAGGTTGCTAAAGTCTCCTCTGCAGTTGGTACCGGTGGGCGGAACATCCCCTTCTGCCCGGACCTGAGACCGTTATACTTCGGTAGTCGAATTTCTACGACTGACCGAGCTTCTTTGATTCTTGGCAATTATATATACGCTTTTCTTGCTTAACCTGTGACCGTCAAATATGCCGAAGTTAAATACATTTCCTTCCGCGTTAATTTGAGTTTCTAGTGCCAACAGTATAGCATATGGTTTAACAATGTACCCGACGAAGAGTATTGTGCTGAAGGAAAGGAAGAGGGATTTACTAATAAATTATTAAAGCGTGCTTTTGATGTATTATTATTATCCAAATTAATCCGTCCTCTTTCCTTTTATTCATATTTTTATTGGTTCATCTTTTAGCTATGTTTATATGAATAAAAGAAACTGACGGTTATCCTGTCAAAGTAAAATGTGAGCTACAAATTACTCACATGGTAATCAAATAACTTAAAGAGTTATTTATATTTATTTTCTTTACATTTAGGCCCTTGAACTCTTAAGCTCTGAATAAAACCCAGATTTTAAATATGTTGTCATGCTGGATAAAAGATGTCCATGAATTTGTGTTTATTTACAAAATCATGCTAGCAAACCTCTTATACATTTTCTTCGGACATTTAATTTGTTTAATATAACTTAATTTAATGCTACCAAACCTTTCATCAAGTAGCTCAGTGGTAAGGGCGCAGACTGCGGCTCTTCGCTAAATAAATAAATGTAGGAGGTCTTGGGTTTGATGCTTCGAGTTGGTAAGTCTACTTAATTGTGGCCATAGATAAGGTGAATTTCTTCATAGCCTTTTTGAGCCGAAAGGAGTAGAAAACCATAACTTGTCATCAGTTGTCCTCATTTTTAAGGAAAAAAAAAAAAAAAAAAAACCCTCTTCCACATATTATGTATACTAGTACCATAAAAAAGAAGTAGGTAAATTAATTTTGTTAAAAATTATAAAAGTAGGTACATTAACTTTGTAAAAATTGAAAAATAGGTACATTATTTTCATAGAAATTAGAAATTAAACCGTAGGTAAATTATTTTTATAGTAGGTAAATTATTTCCTATAATTATACAGTAGTTAAATTATTTTCATAAAATTAAAAAATAAATATTGTTGAAATTAAACATTAATTTAGGTATATTCAAATTGAAATTTCATGGATAGAAGACCTTGCCAAATTCAATGCACGTAAATTAAAACGTAATTACAGGGCATATTCATACTAGCTTATATGGGGGTATTTTACGAATTCAAAAAAATTAAAAAATTGATACACAAACTTAATTTGATAAGTTGCTTAGTTAGTTTCTAACCATTGCTTTTTATTCGGATAAATATAATATAATGTGTTATAGGCTAAAAAAAATGAGTATTGAGGGGGAAAGTTAAATTTTTAGTTATTTAAGGGTAATGCTATTCATACTATATTTTTATACTATCTTAGGTGACATCTAATGCGAACAGTTACATCATTTGAAAAATTTGCAAAACCCAGGAAGGAGAAAGGCTTCTCGTATACCACGATTATCATTTAATTAACTAATTTTTCTTAATTATTAGTTTATTAAATAATGAACTAAATTTAAAAATATGATTAATTTTTCTTAATCTGTCTATATCAAATACCACTTTAGATGGTATGAAAATGTGGTACAAAAATATAGTATGAATAACATTACTCGTTATTTAAAGAATAGTCATTCGTAGGTGAGTAATGTTATTCATACCATGTTTTTGTACCATATTTTTATATAAACTTAGGTGACATTTGATGTGGAAAGTCACATCATCTGAATTAATCAAAATTTTAAATTAGTTCATTATTTAATAAACTAATAATTAAGAAAAACTAGTTAATTAAATGATGATATGGTATATAAGGAGGCATTCTCATTCATTTTCTTGAATTTTGTAAATTTTTTAAATGATACGGCTGTTCATATCAGATATCATCTAAGATAATATAGAAATGTGATATAAATACATAATCTGAAAATTACTGTTGGTAGGAGGAAAGGTTGAAGCAAGTAAGGCAGGCAAACACCAATAAGAAGGCGGCTTCATTAATATCCCAAAAGCCAAGTCGCAGTTCCTAGAAGGTCAAAATAGTCGACCCCGTCATCGGTCTCCCCCTTCCCCCCCTCCCTTCCCAATTTCCCCATATCTACCAATCCTCCCTAAACCCAATTCCCAAACACCCACTCATGGATTTCCTTCAATCCCAACTCCGATACATCAATTCCCAAACAGAGGAATCGGCACCGATCGATAAGTCCCGAATCGTGAAGGACATTCTCCTCCAAGCCGGCCTAATCCTCTTCGTCGTCATCGCCTTCCTCACCATCAACAACATCCCCCAGAAGCTCTTCGCCAAACTCCGCTACCGCTTCCGTAACAAAACCGCCGCCCGGGCCAAGCGCCACTTCGTCCTCGGCGCCCAGCTCCTCGCCGAGTCCCGATCCGCCGACTCCCTCTCCTCCTCCGCCTCCGCCTCCGCCTCCGCCTCCCAGCAGGCCCTCGACGAGGCCGAAAAGGCCATCGCGCTCGTCCCCAAGGACGCCGCCGCCCACATCCTCAAATCCCTCGCCCTCGACGCCCAGGGATACAAGACCTCCGCACTCGACGCCATCGATGTCGCGCTTTCCCCTCTCTGCCGCAAGAGCCTGACCGACGAGGAGCGCGGCGATGCGCTCGTCAAGAGGGCGGAGATCATGCTGTCGATGAACCGGAAAGCCCAGGTTGACCCGGTGATTGAGGATTTGAATCGGGCTGTGGAGCTGAGTCCGGAGAATGTGAAGGCGTTTTGTACGTTGGGAGAGTGCTACGAGGGGAAGAAGATGACGGAGGAGGCCAGGAAGGCTTACGAGGCGGCGCTGAGGGTCCAGCCCAGATTGAAAGCCGCCATGGACGCTCTGGAACGACTCGGTTCGAGTTAGGCGCGTGGGCTCGGCTCGGGTTTATTTCGGATTCCTATTTTTATTTTTGTTTTGTAGTTTCAAATTTGTGGTATTTCGTTTATGATAAATTGATAATCATCAGGATATTTCGAGTGTAATGACTTGGATTCACATGTATTTTTGTAGGAAATGACCTGTAATAAATGGGAAATGAGTATGTTTATTAATGTTTAAGTAGTAATCTAATCATCAACTTTCATGTCATTTAGTTTATAAAATTTAGTCTACGAATTTAGTCCCTCTAGCATTACTCTTTTAAGAAATGATTTCAACATACTCATGTTCGTTCTTTTGTACACGGATAAAGTTTTGTCCTTCAATTAGCATCGAAATACATAAGGATATGTAAAGAAAAAAATACGAGTGAAAACCATTTTTGTTGTGTCGGAGGAGATTGGTGAGCATAAGGAAGGAGGTAAACTATGGGAAAGTCTCTTGTCTGGTTTGAGAGTCTTTTTAATTTAAACAACGAGAACTCATATTCGAATTTAAAGCTTGTTACAACTATGAAAATACGAGAATTAACATTAGGACTTCGTCTCATTGTTTTTTTTTAGTAAATGTGATAATATCGTAAGAAATTTCTCAAGATATAGTATATGAATTATTAGTATAAGTATCTTATCCTCCTAAACAAGAATTTGCACAAAAGGCCAAAAAAAAAAAAAAAAAAAAAAAGGAAAAAGGAAAACTCGAAAACAAGACTGAGGTTGGATTCCCTTAAAAGTGTATACAGAGATGTCCCTATCTTGGGCGCGCTTGCATGCATGCATGTATGAAAATTAACAGACAATATCAATCCATATAAAGAACAAGTCCCATGAATATTAACAAAAATAAAATAAAAAATCACAACCAACTCACGTTAGTAAGTTTCTGAATCAAATTACAAATTTTCTTTTGCCAATAAAATCTGCCCGAGATTTGATATTATCCTACAAATATATATAACTCACCAAATCTTGTCTGATATAGTAGATTGATGATTGTGCATCCAATGTATACCGTACAACAGAAAATCTCCTGCATTAAATTCTCGTTCAAAACCATATCTCCTGGGTGAGTATGTAGCTGTGTTCTTGCTATATATATAGAGCATAGGCTGTTTGTGGTATATCACATCCCTCAAAAGCTTCCTTATTCTCCAGTCTGTGCTTTCGTCTCATCTCCCAGGAGCCATGACTAGAACGAAAGTGAAACTGACCTACATCAGCAACGACTCGTCGCGAAAGGCCACGTTCAAGAAGAGAAGGAAGGGTTTGATGAAGAAGGTGAGCGAACTCAGCACCCTTTGTGATGTTCAGGCGTGCGCGATTATTTACAGCCCGTATGACTCCCAGCCGGAGCTCTGGCCATCGCCGTTGGGAGTCCAGCGGGTTCTTGCACAGTTCAAGACCTTGCCGGAGATGGAGCAGAGCAAAAAAATGGTGAACCAAGAGAGTTTCCTGCGGCAGCGGATCGCCAAGGCCAACGAGCAATTGAAGAAGCAAAGGAAGGAGAACCGCGAGAAGGAGATGACGAGAGTGATGTTCCAGAGTCTGATGGGAAAGTCCCAGCTCCACGGTTTGAGCATGGTTGATTTGAACGATTTGGGGTGGCTGATTGACCAGAATTTGAAGGAGATCGACAACCGGATGAAGAATCTGAATGAACAGGATTCTAAAAGCCAAGTGCAACTACAACCAACGACGCTGCCTGTAGCTGCTGCAACTGTGCCGGAGCGTGGAGTGGAGAGGCAGCAGGGTTTTGAGCTTAACAATAATGTGGGCATGGCGGTTCAAAGGCAGCAGCAGCCGTTTTTCATGGACATGATGAACGTCCCACAAGATCATCAGCAGCAGCAAATGGCAGGGATTGGTGGTGGATATGAGATGAATATGCTGCCGTTTGCTGCGGATCAGTGCCAAATTAATGCTATTTGGTCCAATAGTTCATTTTACCCTTGAAAATTGCTTCTGTTAATGGTTTGTTTTTATAATTTAGCATCGAACCATGGTAGGGTTTTAGTGTTAAGGCTTGAAAACAGTGCGTGTTGTTCAGCCTTTGATTAATTTTATGTAATAAAGTTAGACCACAACAAATGATGTTTTCAACTTTTAATAATCTATGAAATGCGGCTCTGTTTCATATCATTTCATATGATCAACCCCATGGTAGATTTTTAGTGGGCTTGGAATACGAGCACAACGTTATATATCATTATATAAGTATAGAAACATTTAAAAAAAAAAAGAAAATTCTATATTTATATAATCAAATATGCCATACCAGACTTGTATTCTAGACAAATTGAAAAAATCTCTCCAGTTCCAGCAACAAACCATTAGGTTGAAACACATGCCATGCAGACTGGTAATGGGGTTTGAGGTTTGACCATATTTACCTCATATGCCACCATGCTGACTTATTATTATCTCAAGGTAAAATTACAATCTATCCCTTGTTCAACATTTTTTTATTTAAACTTTATTTGTTTTATTTGTTTTCAGTTTTTGACCTAAGTTTCTTGATTTTGTCCACATCAGCACTTTTAAAATATTACACCATTTTGCTTAAGTTTTTGTTAACCTAAACAACCAATCAAATATAAATTTTCCAAAAAAAAAAAAATAAAATAAAATAAAAACAACCAGTCAAATATATTATTATAGTTGGCTCATTTATGCATATTAATTTTTGGATTTTCGTACCATGAATTAAGATCTCATCTCTTTTTACATTTTAGGCAAAACAAATTATGATTAAGTTAAAACTAGAAAGTCCAATTAAAACCTAATGTCTCTCTTTTGTGAAAGTCAGACTCTTCCTTGCTGTCATTTTTTCCTTCATGATCACATGCCTCACCTATGCTTGTAAGCTCTCATCCAAAACGATCACTTCTCTCTGTCTCTCCATCCACGGTATGCTTGTAAGCTCTCATCCAAAATGCTCACTTCTCTCTGTCTCTCCATCCACGGTATATGCATACTTAGCTTTTGTTGTCTGTTTCTTTTCCTTTTTGTGGGCTAGTCAGTTTGATATGGACGGAGCCTTTTGTTGTCTGGTTCAAGAACTCGTAATATGGGTACATGCCCTTGATTTTGTTTGACAAAGAAGGATAATTATGCCAACGAGGGTATCAGTTGGTAAGTTCCCCACCTTGTATGTCGCCTTGGTCAAGTTTGCTGTCAGCAGTCCTCGTTGGTGCGTGATTTGTAGATTCCTACCGGTAGTAGCTGGGAATTAGATGCCACACGTAAGTCATTCCGGCTCGAGGTTGTAGGTATGCCCTAATGGTGAGAGTAACCAATCCCCCTCTAAACTTTTCGTTACCAACAAAAAAAGATAACTTTTTCGTTCTCAACTGTTACAATTTTTTTTTTTCAGGAGTACATATATGATGGGTAATGTTTTCCAAGAGTATGTAATTGCACAATTTTTTTTGTTGGTTGAATTTGTACCCACAAATTAATATTTATACGTGTGTATCCATAGTATTTAAATATTGTACCCATGTTTATATTCTCTGTTAATTTTTCTGTCTTCTTCATGCGCTTTTTTATGAGGTGATTGTATTTTTCGGTCATATGGGTACATTTATATTGCAATTTTTTATATTGATTTTGCAACTGGGTCTGTCTGTATGAGTATATGGGTACACTGTTCTGTTGTGTATTAGAATTGAGTAATGGTACATTTTCCAACAGAAAAATGACGAGAGAAAACGTTTTGGTAAATTAGTACAAACCATGCTCAAAAGTTGAAAACAACAAAACGTTCTAAAAAAATATGAGCACAGCTTGCAACCAGTGGGTACATTTAATCATGATTGAGGATGGTAATCAAATGGGTACATTTAATCATGATGGAGGAAGGTAATCACATGGGCACATTTTGTAGGTAATGGGTAGAATATTGTTTTGCGTTTGTTTCCTTAATACTCTTATTTACATTGGTACATTGCAAATCTTATTTGTTTACAATTTGGTTTTCTTTGAATTTAGGTGATGAAGATAAGAATTTTGAATTTCTAGGATTACATTGATTCAGACAATTAATTATGAGAAAAATTAATTACCTTGAAAAAGCACAATCTTTATTTTAGAAAATAAAAAAGTTGACATGGAAATCTATTATTACTAACATGTTGAGGTGTACAAAATCAAAGAACTTCAATAAAAATTTGAAAACTAATAAAATTTCAGTAAAAAAATATTAGTTATTAAGAATCGCATTCAAAGTCTCCCTTATTTTCATCTCATAATTCATTCAGACTTTGTTGCTACCTTAATTCCATATCATGCAGACTTTATTTCTGTTTGGGGAGACAATTTTTGGAATAAGAATGATTGGTTGGCTGGTTTAGTGACCCTTAATTGTTCTCCATTGCAATATTTGTGATAATTTTGCAAACCTATCATTTGGTTTATTACTTTATAATATTAATACTAATCAACCTCTTCTGCAGGTTAATTAGATGATTTATCAAACCTATCTATGTAGTTTATAATGTTAATCAACCTATCGTCTTTGTATTTGTGATGATTTTTCAAACTCATTTAATTTGATTTATGTTGTTAATGAACCTATGTTAAGGACCTTTAGTTAAATTTGTAATTTGAGGAACCTATCCATGTAGTTTATAAATCTATGATATCGACAGCTAAAATTTTAATGTCAAATATCAACGTACAATTGTTTGGACCCAATATTTTTGGGTGTGGGCCCACTATAACTGTGGGCTTGACACATAATAGAGATCTTCGGCCCATGTCGTGTTTTTGAAACGTTAAGTCCAGCCCAACGTAGGATGGCTGAATCCTAATAGGTGAAGGACTCTTTAAGGAGTCAGGTTGGAATGATTTGGCTGAGTCTTAATGTGATTGCTTTTGTTTCAAGGATATGGATGAACGTTGGTAGGATTCGTGATATTCCAAGAATCAAGGTTCATGGCTCATCAAGATCATGAGTGATTTTAATATAGAAAAGGGACTGGATTCAGAGTCCTAGGTCTAATAGGAGTGTCCGAGTGTACCTCTGTATAATGCATACAAACAAATCTACACAATTATAATGGGAATCCTACACTAACTACAATGAAAAAATTACATCCGTGCAATACATGAGTTAATAACGGAGATAATTCTGAATTAATTAACTCTGATCTCACTTTAACCTCAAGTTTATCGATTTCGCGTACCCCTACAAATTTGACAATCTTCTTCGGTGCAACACTAAAAAACTGGAGGTAGGTTTATATTAAGGGAACTTGATACACGAATAGAAACCAAATGAAACTATTACAAAGAACCCATATTTAGTGGGTTTAGAGAACTTGGGCACCAAGCATACTTGACAGAAAAGAAATACAATTACAACCAAATTTAAATAAATTAAAAATCTATGTTACCTAAATTATCCTAAAATATTACATAGAATCCATATTTAGTGGGTTTAGAAAACTTGAGCGCCAAGCACACCTGGCAAAGAAGAAATATAATTGCGAAACATCCAAATTTAAATAAATAAATAAAATCTTAGTTACCAAAATTATCAAAGATATTAAATCCCAAACGGAAAAGAAATAAAAGGGGCTTTTGAACATTAGTCCTTGAAAAAGATTAAATTTTTAAAAAAAATCTGGTGCTAGACTACATATTTAATTTAATTCCTTGAAGTGTACTTTTATCAAAATTTATATTTAATTTTGTTATTTAATGTGTATTTTTATTCAATCTCTCCAAATTAATTTTTAATTTTATTAATATGCACATATTTAGTTCTTTAATTATAAATAAACATAAATGAGAAAATATTAAAAGAAATTTGTGATACAAAAATATATAAATACATAAGTGTACAAAAATGATTGTGCCGAAATATATAAAATTGAATTTTTTGTACCGAAATATTTGTACCTACATGATTGTACCGAGATATATTATAATGAACCTAAATGTATGTACCGAAATGTATTATATTGAATTAATGTAACTAAATGTTTTTTTTTCTTTAAACAAGAAAATATATTAAAGGGAAAACCCACGAGTACAACCGTTCCGTACATAATCAAACTGAAGAGTATGAAGAGCAAATGAAGGAATACAATGATTCCAAATATGACAATCGGTAATAAGAAGGCCATTGCGAGCGAAGGCATCCGCCACAAAGTTAGCCTCTCTATAAATATGCTTCTAGTGAATGCAATCATAATTGGTCGCCATCCACTTGACATCTTCAATAATCGGAACTAGATTCCATGGTGTCGCACCCTGGTCCAACACTGACTGAATGACCAATTTAGAGTCACCTTTAACCATAATCTTTTTATAGCCCTTCCTCTGAGCAAAAAGAAGGCCCTCTCTGAGAGCCTTAGCCTTCACTTCAGAAATAGTGGCACCATCCAGATTTAAAGCTTCACCTCCAATAATCTGCCCATTATGATTCCTCAAGACAAATGCCGCCGCCACCTTGTCCCCAGCCACAGAACCATCAAAATTTAACTTAACAAAACTCCTATCTGACGGATGCCATTTAACAATTGTGGAAGTATCATCAATATTTCTGCTCAAACCTTTACCATTGGCTTTAAGATATCGCACACCCATAGAAATAGCCAATAATTTAGATATTGCCAGGATGGGCAAAACATTCCTGAACACCATATTATTACAATCATTCCAAATTTGCCAACGAAGGAGCAAACACAAGCTCAAATCACTAGGAACTTCCTTATCAACATGCTTTAAAGAATTTAGCCAGTCTACTGCTTAGTCAAAGTTAGCATTAGTGAAATTGCCCGGCTCAACTGAACAAAGGTCCCAAATCAATTAGTGACACCACAATTAAAACATAAATGCATTTGGTCCTCGTCTGCGGAGTTACAAAAAGGACACATCTTATCACTATTAATTACAATATGACTTAATCTGTTTCTTGTTTGAAGTCTATCATGAATGAACAACCACGCAAACATCTTAACTTTAGGAGGAATATTAAGTTTCCACATCTTATTAATTCACTTATGTTTTGTAGATTGAGTTAACATCCCTTTATGGATCCAAGTAGCTAATTTAACAAAGAACTTACCATTTGTATTTGGACCCCAAACTAGCACATCTTTGGAATCCTGCAAAGGAATTGTAATATTGAAAATTTCCTCACAATTTCATTACTAACCACTTACGAAAGCTTTCTCCTATCCCAACAATAATTATTAATAAATTCATTGACTTTCAAGTCCCAATTAATGTTTTGGTTGTCAATATTGGGTAAAAGATGGAACAACGGGTAAGGAAAAACCCAATTGTGGGACCAGAACAAAATGTCCTTACCATTATCCACTCTCCATCTCATACCCTTAAGAATAACATCCCTACTTTTCAAGATACCTTTCCAAGCAAAAGAATGATTTTGTCTAATTTTATTATCTAGAAAAATTTCCCTTCTAAGGTACTTACTTTTTGCTAACTTCACCCACCAGTTATCTTACTCGGTCATTACCTTCCAACCCAACTTAGCGACACAAGCATTATTAAAATGATCAAGTCTTCTAACTCCCAAACCTCCCATTTTCTTAGGAGCACATATTGAATCCCAAGCCACTGGAAAGATTTTCTTGTCCCTACCCTAGAAAAAATCCATACACTCTTTATTAAGCTTATTGACAATCTTGTCAGGACACTTAAAGCAAGACATAACATGATTAGGCATACCCATTAGATTAGAATTAATTAAAGTAAGCCTCCCCGCTCTTGAAAGAGTGCTTGCTTTCCAACCAGGTAATTTTTGCTCAACCCTCTTAAGTAACTCATTACCATTAACTTGGTCATTCCAGAAAACAATATTATGAATTCCTAGATACTTACAATTAGTAGTTTTATGTTGAATATGTAAAATATTAACAATATCAATTCTAGTTGGAGAAGTGGTATTCTTGAAAAAATACAAGGACGACTTATGAAAGTTTATTTGTTGGCCTGTCGCTTTAGAAAACATATTAAGGATTTGAAGAACATTCCTCGTACCCCTCGGCGTGGCTTTGGCAAACAGGAGACAGTCTTCAGCAAACACTAGATTTGAGATTTTAAATCATCCTCTAGGTGAGGACAAAATACCAATATGAGACTTCGGATTATTTGTTAGGGTATTGAGGTGTCTAATTAACGGTTCTATACAAATGATGAAAATATAAGGGGACAAGGGGTCCCCTTGTCTAATTCCTTGCTTCGGATAAAAATAACCATGAGGTCGCCCATTTATAAGCATAGAGAAGGAAGGAGAAGTAATACATTCCATAACTAATTCAACCCAATGATTATCAAAACCAAATCTAAGAAGAACATACCGAATGTAATCCTAGTTTAAGTAATCATATGCTCTTTCCAAATCCAGCTTGACACCTATAACTCCAGTTCTTCCTTTCATACTATTGAAACCAACAAACATTTTGTGAGCAATAAGAATATTATCCTGAATAGCTTTACCTAGAGCAAAAGCACCTTGATTTTGAGAGATGCAAAGATCCAATAAAGGTTTTAGTCTCTTAATGAAGATCTTTGTGATTATATTATAACTAACATTACACAAACTAGTAGGCCTATAGTTACTAACAGTTTCTGGATTATCTATTTTAAGGACTAAAGTGATGTTAGTAAACAGAGTCCCTAATTTAAGCTGGAACCATTTTGGGAAAAAAAAATCTTTGACCAAATAGGAAACAGAGTCCCTAATTTGGTCCCAACAACCATGAAAAAAGGCCGTGCTTAAACCATCAGGACCTGAGGCTTTAAGAGCTCCAATATTACTCACAGCATCCCAAATTTCCTCATCTGTAACAAGAAACAACAAACTTTTATTATGATGATTAGAAACACAAGGTTGAATGATATCCGCTAAATTACTTAGGTCAGCACCTAAGGGGGGGACTGTCACAGGAAAAGCGCTTTTTAAAATCGTGCACAAAAGCCTGTTCAAGGCCCTGATCAACAGACCACCAAAACCCATTCTCATCTTTGCCTTTCGTAATTTCATTCCTTTTTTTACGAATAGTAACCACGGTTTGAAAGAATTTAGTATTCTTATCCCCAAGTTGCAGCCAATTAGTTTTAGCTCTTTGGGCCCACATAATTTCTTCACAAAGTAACACATGATTCAATTCATCTCGAAGGGATTTTTCCATCATCAAATCAACAGAGCTGTTACTCATAATTTGCTTTTGAAGCTGATCAATTTCATTTAACAATTCTTTCTTTTTCTCCTTTAAATTGCCAAAAGTGTCCTTGTTCCATTTACAAACTAGAAATTTAAACTTACCAGCACACACTCTGAATTTATCTTAAGGATTAATAGTAGGGTCACAATGCCAAAAATTTTGCACAAACGTTTTAAACTAAGGACGATTCAGCCACATAGCCTCAAATTTAAACGAGAAGTAGTTATTCTTCTTCTCACTAGAATTTAGAGATAATAAAATAGGACTATGAGAAGAACCAAAAATAGGATAGTTATGCAAATGATAATTAGGGAACATATTAAACCATAAAGGGTTAGCCACCACCCTATCCAATCTCTCGAAAACAACCGTATGATCCGTATGACAATTAGTCCAAGTAAAAGGAACTCCAGGTGCATTTAAAGACAAAAGGTTGCCACGATTAAGAAAATTGATAAAATTGTTTATGTCTGTGGTATGTGTTTGATTACCTCCAACCTTCTTAGAAAGCTCAACAACATTGTTAAAATCTCCAACTAAGCACCAAGGACTATAAATTGGATCTAACTTGAGGACCTCCTTCCACAGGTCACATTGCATATGTTTTTGGGGAAACGCATAAATGAAAGTAACTAATTGCTCTAAATTAGTAACTAAGTCCTTTACAGAACAATGGATATATCTCGGAGAGGAAGAAAATATACTAACAAAAACCTTAGTACTATTCCAACATAAGCAGAGGCCCCCAGATCGGCCAATTGGATCACAACAAAAAATATTGTCATAATACTTGGAATAAAAGTTCCTAGGGACCTTATGAACAACCACCTTAATCTCCATCAAGCAGAAAAGGTCCAATTTAGCTAAACTACATATAAAATTAAAATTACTAGGAAATTCATTTCTCCTAATACCCATATGGTTCCACGCAAGACACTTCATCAATCTAATTCTTCAAGATAACTAAACTTTTCCTTAATTGCAATTTCCTCTTGGATTCTCTTTCTCGAACTTAGCATCTTAACAGTGGCACAAGGGTCACCACCACTAGGCCCAGCTTTAACATCATCCTTTTCACAGACTCCTTTCTTTGGACTCATCATTCCTATTTTAGGTCTTGCACTCATAGAGCCAACCTCTGCTTTAAGAAAAGCATAAACCATATTTCTAGTGTTATCCCTAGTTTCAGTCTCCTTACTTTTGACATTTGACATATCAACAACCAGGTATAAAGCAAGATCATTCATAACATCAAAGAAATCAAAATTAACACTTTTATAATCACAAACAAGATTATTGTCACATGGTAGGATAAGGAACTTATCATCACCCAACATAGAGTCACTATAATTAACACTAGAGATAACTATCCATCAATCCTCATTTTGTCTAAAGATAAAAGGATTAGAGATAGAATTTATAAACCCAGAGGAGCTATAATTCATAGAGCTTATCCTTGGTTATTTACCAAAATCCCCACCATTACCTTAATCATCCAATGAAAATTGAATCTAATTTTCACAATGTCAGGTTCCTGCATCAAACCTTCGTCATCGCTCCCAAAGATCTTCATTGCTTTAGCACCCTGCATCTTTACTTGTTCCCTAGATAGCCCACATAGCACATGAACTCTCAGATAGACTTCTATCTCATGTTCCCCAAATTTATTGAGCATTAGATAAGCAACAAACCCCATATATTTGCAAGGGATTGAGCAATTAAGCTCTAGAAACCCGCAACCACGACTTTGTGAGGCACCATTCAATTGAATCACAGCCAACCAGAATTCTTCCTTGGCACCTTGCATGCCTAAAAACCCAGTTTTAAACCGAAAGTAAGAAATACCTGGGAGCTCTTCAACCTCCAGTAATTGGTTACAACCCTAACGATTTGCCTCTGGGTTCCACTCCTTAAGACCCACCATTGATAATTAGCTAGAGGAAAAATCCTAACTACAACCCAATTAAGCACAAAGCTACAATTTGGATTGTGAATTGCATGAATACCTTCAGCCCACCCACACTTATCATTGAACAAAGCATTTATGCTAGAGCAATTAGCTAAATTGCAAAACTGTACTAAATACCAGCAATTATCTGATCTCCAATTAACTTTCAACCCATTAATTAGCCTATCTACTTTGACTAAAATGCAAATTAGAGCAAGAAATAGGGGCCAGAGCCGAATTCGTACCAGGATACTCGGCCCTATGTGTCGTCGGCGCCTTCACCAGTCTTCAGAGAACCCTAGCATCTTTTTAATGTAACTAAATATTAATACCAAAATGTATGTACCGAAATATAGTATATTGTGAATACTCAAATGAGAGGTATTAGGTTTGAATCTCATGGATGGCGAATTCGATACCAAATTAAGTTGTTCATTATGTGGCTTAGCCGAACCCCTCCCCCCCCCGGGGACGGCCTTAGTGTAAAATATATCGTTGTACTA